ACATTGTTTCCATACCTAAATCAAAATTTTCATCCTTTAAACATGTCAAGTCTTCATAATATACAAGACAAAACAAAAAATATTTAGTATATACTGCAAAACTCTAGATACAAAGCACAAGTTTGTAAGTGTGTTAAAGAAGCTGTAGGAAACACTTGTCTATTTACTTTGTGCAAGTTGGTATCACTATTCTCAATTTACAGGTAGAAAAACAAGCTACAGAGATTCAAGTACAGTGTCAAGGTTACACTGCAGGAAGAAGCCTGTACTGGTTCCCATTGCTCCAAATAGCTTACCATGTAAATGGGGAAAAATGCAAAAGGAAACCCCACAAAACAAATATAAAAAGCATGTATTGACAACTGTAGAAATAATATTGATAGGAGCAAAAATGCAGATATTCTTAGAATCCCCATCTGCTTCCCCCTGCCCCAGAGTGATGAATTTTGATAGGCTTTTTGTTCTCTGGGAAATCCCAACTATTGATAGGCCCATAAGGAAGTTCCTTGGTAAATTTTATTCTCAGTACCGGCAATAATTTTTTCCCTCACATAAGATACCTGCCCACTGAGACCCTACCTTCTGGTAGGCACAGGGTCCTGACAAAACATTTTATTTCTCTAATATTATCCAGTATCCAGCTTAATACTGTAAAGGAACTATTTCTCATTTCTCATGATTCTTTGGGTTACCTAGACTAAGCTGGTTGGTTCTTCTGCTCCATGTGACTTCAGCAATGTGCTGAATCATCTGGGGGGCTATGTAGTTGGACTGGCATGTGGACCGGCAGGAGATCCGGGCTCTCTGCTGGGAGTTCATTTGAGCATGTCGACTGGAGTAATGTGGCTTCTGCACGTAGCATGGACGTCTCACAGAAGGAATGCTGGGTTCTATGGGGCATCATCCAGATAGTAAGCATTTCAAAAGGAAGCTGCCAACCTTCTCATGCCTAGGCTTAGAAGTCCCAGTATGCCATTTTCTTGATTTTTGTTGGCTAGTCCATATTTAGGGAGAAAGAAAAAAGCTCTGTCTCTAAATGAGACCATTGGCATGAACATACAGAGGGGAAACTTGCTGGAGGCCATCTTTGCAGTGAAACTCCCATACAAGGTCCCCAAAGCCTTTCCATTATAGCTTCTTTTTCTACTAAAGAAAGAGAAGCTGTAAGATATGACCATTTAAGAATGTCCCCCTAACCTTTCCACTAGGGTACACTTGGTAAATATTATATACATTGAATGTGAAATTGTCCTATTGATAGAGAGCCAAACATTATTATGAGCACATAAATATTATGGGAGACTTTCTGGAGGAGATGAAATTTTGAGCTTAATGTGATTAAGATGGTATATACGGATTGAACAACCTCAGTGAAATAATACTTAGTTTGTGTTTTAATAATACAAGTAAACCAGCATGTCATATGTAATAGTGTTATTTGTCCAAGTGGATGTTTTAAGCATAGAAAAAGCACCGACTCTGTGTGTCTGAGTTTTATTGTAAAGACAAGCTTATAGCAAATTAGACAGACTACACTTTAAGGTTCTGTTTTTAGGTTGATTGTTATAAAGCCCTATGAATTAATCTCTATCAAAGCTTTAGTGGTAACCAAATAACATATTTGTGGCAGATGGCGGACCAGATGACTGAATATGCATTACTTTGGTTCCTTGCCAAGTAACTTTTAAATACACAACCATGGATTTATAGAATGCATTATATTCACAGTAAAATAAAACTAAGAAATATCTATAGATGCCAGAAGAGTATCTTCTGTAGTACAAAACATTGGACAATGCAACGTAGCATATACCTCATAATGATTCTGTGTGGCTGTGTAAAAGTCATGACCTGAGGCTGCAGTGAGCACGGTGTTAGCATTCTGATAGGATGAGACAGACCTGGAATTCCAAGCAGGTGTGAAGCAAGCATGGTTTCAGAAACAGCCAGATACAAGAACAAAGAATGGGGCAGAGGACAAAAAAATGTATAAAATTATCCATGGTAGATACTCTCAAGCATATTCAATCTCAAGTCTTTAAGAAACAGATGCCCTTTCTCTAAAGGGTAAGAAATGTCTTTGTTGTGGTGCAATTAGTTTTTTTTTTAAAAAAACAGCTATTTAAAAAGTCCAGCAGAATTGAGGTTATCATTAGAATTACTACTGTTTTGTCAAAGATCGGGTAGGATTAGAGAGGACACACGCCGCTGGGTGGGAGGAGCCCCTGACTGGTTTTGTGGCCATCAGGGCAGTGCTATTGACCACACATTCATTCAGACGGCACACCAGAGAGAAGGGCTGCAGTGGGGAGGAAGTGAGTCGTGTATCTGCAAGAACTCCACACAAGACAGATCCTTCCACACTTCCCTGGTGTGGTCCATATGCCTCCTCCAGAATGTAAGTCCACCAGAGGACAACATTCCCATTGCCCCTTCTCCACTGCAATCCCTATCCAGGCGCTCACTCCCTCCTCCCTCGAGGTGCTGTGCAGGCTGACAGCAGTCTGTCTCTGTGGCTAACACACACACTGGTTTGGCTACAGAGAGCTTGTGTGTGGCTGACTGGGAAGGATACACAGGACAGCCTTATTCTAACCCTTCAGGTTTGCCAGGAGTGCTGTTTCTTCCCCAATACAAGTCAGAGGCTCTTAAATATAATATAAATCCCACAGCAAATGAGGACTCAACCCTGGGTCCAACAATATCAGCAATTTGCTGCTCACTCAGGTCACAACTCTGTGCAAAGTCCCAGTCTAGTGGGTGTGTGTAAAAAAGCTGTGTTTCATCAGCTCTCTCTCTCTGCAAGACTTGAGGCCCACTACAGTAGAAAGACAGAGACAGATGTTTGTGAGTTTGACAAGAGATGGACACCTGGGCTGCTGTTCCACACACACAGTGGACAGGAGCCCAAATCCAGGCCATCTCATTGCCTGGCTTTAGCAGTTTCAATGGTGCAAGAACCACATGGCCTTTGAGTTTGCTATTTATGGGAGGGTTAGGTGGGGGAGCATCCAGTGTAACATAAGAAAAACTAATGAAAAATCTCAATATGAAATTGCCTTTCCATTCCTCCTGCTGGGAGGCTCAGCAAGGCAAACTGTGCCTCATCTCCCCTTTCCTCCAGGCCCTGTGCATAATCCCAGTAAGGGAAGCTTGCAGCCAGCCACAACACCTGAGTCCCCCATGAGGGATTTCTCGGGACTGGTCCCCCAACTCACCACTGGGGAAAACAGCCAGAGGAACAAGCATTCAGAGAGAATAGAGGGGAGACAGAAGGAGAAGGAAGTGATCTCAAATGCAGTACAAGGTGGAGAGTTCACCACACAGAAATAGCATTTGGTTCTGACTTTAATCAGAGGCTGGGTGAACTGGAGACTCAAGAGTTCTCACTCATGTCAGTAGCTCCTTTTGGCTGGGCCTCCAGAAGCTGTCTGACCAGAAAACCCTCCCAAGAAATGCAACATAGGAGAGTAGGACTTCCAGAAAATAAGCCGAAGTTCCAGTCATTCTGTTCCTACAGGAGAAAACCTTAGTTCCTGAACACAAGATTGACTCACTCTCCGGAATCTTCTTTTCATAGATAGATTTCTATGATCTTCTTTCATAGAGAGATCATTATTCTCATTTGGTGGCTGAGGAGGACTTGAAAGATGGAGAGGTTATAAGATTTGTTTCTCACAGAGCTGAGATAAGACCTCAGTTTCAGGATCTTTGATCAGAGGGCATCTCTTTCAGAAAGGTTTTCCCCTGACTCTTCCATCTAAAATAATTCCTTCCTTAGTCACTCCATCAAAATAATTTTCTTCATATCATTTGTCACTGAGGCGGTTTAGTAGGAAGCTTGGAAAATTCCTTGGCAAGTGGAATGAGGAAACTGAGACAGATAGTTAAACGGCTGAACAATTTACACTTAGATAATAAATTGGAAGGTCTTGTCTCCCCTAACCAAAGACATTTAGGAGCAAATGGTTTCCACATTCCAGACCATGCTGGAGCAGAGCCACCTTGGCCCCAGTCCCAGTCCCTGTTCCATGACATTCTTTGAAGGTGAAACTGACCAGAGAATGACTCTGACCCCTCTATAAGCTCATTTTATGCATCAGCGTATTAAAGAACACGCCTGGAAAGCTGATGAATATTCTGAGCTCCTGCCCTAGGAACTCACTTAAAATTCCTACCTTTGGAAAACAGATAAAAACACTTAAGACAAAAACCCATTGCACACTCTCTTTTGGGCATGCCCAGGCCTTCCCCCTCCTTCTTTCCTCACACATGTATCTTTACTTTCTTTCTCCTAAGCTCTAAAGCAGCAGTTCCCAACATTTTTGGCACCAGGGACCAGTTTTGTGGAAGGCAGCATCAGGGTTCAGTGGACAGGTGGTGGAGCTCAGGTGAGCTTTGCTCACCTGCTGTGGATGAGGTGGATAGAGTTTGTGGATGAGGGGGAGACAGTAGGCAGCACTCAGGCAAGCTTTGCTCCTAGCTTGGTTCCTAACAGGCAGCAGACTGGTCCTCTATGGCCTAGGGGTTGGGGACCTATGGTCTGAAGGTTCCCAGGAGACTTGCAACTGGGGGAGCAGTGGGCAGTGGCAACTTGTCCTGGGATAATTCCCTGAACCTGTCTCCAAGGGCCCTCCTTTTTTCTCTGTAGCTTGTTACCTGAGTCCACACAGCCCAGCTGGCTCACTTCTTCTGCCTCCGTGACCTTCTTTCTAATGGGCCAAGGCAGCTTCATGGAGACTCAACACTTCCTCATGTTTCCAGAGGACCAAGGCACCTCATCTAGGATCACTCCTGTTGCTATTATCTTGCCTCTTCTTTCTTAAGCCCTTCCTTTGTTTCAGTGCCTCAGCTTTAATAAATGGACTTTTAAAATCACCTGAATTCATCTTGTGAACTCTTTCCTCTACGAATTCAAAACCTCATACATTCCAGATCATGCCAGGACAGATCTGCCTTGGTCTTTGTCTATTTCCAGTGACATCACTATTTGATATGCTGTTTTTATTTGTTTATTTGTTATTTCCTTCTGCTACATGTAAATGTTGAGAGAACTGTGTTTCTATTTGTCTCCTTCGCTGCTTTCTCCCAATTTCTAAACAGGACCTGGAAAAAAGTAAAACATATTCAGTAAATATGTTTTGTGTTTCCCTTCCATTTTTTCACATATATATTTATGTATATTTGCAGTGATCTTGTATATAAAACATCCACATTTTTCTATCAAATATTGTATGCATTTATTTATGTAGCCACACAACCTTTATACTGATAAATTTAATGATTGCTTGGTATTCTTTCTGAGTGCCAGAAGCACTGTTATTTCTGAATATATACTTTATTCCCATTTTCTATATTATTATGCTAAAATTTTAATAAACATAATTTAGCATCTATTTGCATATGATTTTACCTACTTCTGTAGTGTTTTCTTAGAATAAATAAGATGACTAAATTAATGAGTTTAAACATTTTTATGATCCTTGATTCAGAGCAACCAATTTCTTTAAGAAATAGTTGTAACAACTTAAGTGACAGGATAATAGGCAAATTTCTTTCCCAGAAGCATTCACAGCTTAGCAGATGGTTTTCTTTCTGCGATGTTTGTCTTCTCAATCATCTCTACCAGTGAGGTCAGAGAAACATCCATTCTGTTCCTCCGTGTGGTAGGTGACAATGGAGCAACATCAGGTGTTGAGAAAGTCGTACCTAAGTTATGACCGGAGGCCTGCAGGTTGAATACAAAAAGAGTTAGAGCTCTTAAGAAGGGGAAATCAAATGGGGACACATTTCCACAGGCACAAAATAGCTACCAGATAATGAGAAATGAGAGGTGGCAGTTACAAAGATAATGCCCATCCCGGGCTGCCCACGTAGCTTCACAACTGGGAGGAAATTTCCAAGCTTTGCAAGAGCACTTGTAAGAGATACAGGATAAATGTTTTCACTTTTTTTATCCTATATTCCATAAATTGTCTTAATCTTGAATGATATTCCAAGAGGACACCTTACCAGGTCTCTCTGTTAATAGCTGATCATGTAAAATGTGTTTGCATTTGCTGTGGGGCTTACTGCTTGAAGTCTTTCTGTGAACGTACATTACCTTTCCCCTGAGGGCCAAGAAGGGCTTCTTATAGGTTGGTTTGTTTGTCCTGGGTGCATTAGGGAGTAGAAAGGCATAATTGCCTCCATTCTTCATGTTTGTTGAGATGAATTTGGACAGCCAAAAATGCTAGCTAGTGTTTAGATCCTTCTATTCTTGAGTTTCAGTCCAGGATGCATTTTATTCCACTTCATTTAAATTTTATTACAGAATCATCGGTCCTAAAAATTTCCTATTTCTAAACCTCATCACTCTTGTTTAATTGCTTTCTCTTGGAGCAAAACAGTGACTACAATGGTAATTTGTAATACTTGACATTTTGAACGATGCTGCATATTGAATAAGCTACAAGTTTCCTCAATCTCATATGAAATAACTATTTTATTTAATCCACATGTAGCTAATTTTTTTTTATTTTAATCATTGTTCAAATACAGTTTTCTCCTTTTTACTCCCAATCCAGACCCCCCTCCCACCCTCCCCACTTCCCTCCCATTACCACCCTCCCCTTAGTCTATGACCATGTGTCCTTTAAGTTTGTTCCTGTGAACCCTTCCCACTGACCCCCTTAAATTCCCTCTTCTCTCCCCTCCGGTCACCATCAGCCTGACCTCTATTTCAGTGTCTTTGGTTATATTTTGCTTGTTTCTTTGTTTTGTTATTTAGGTTCCTGTTAAAGGTGAGATCATATGGTATTTGTCTTTCACTGCCTGGCTTGTTTTGCTTAGCATAATGTTTTCCAGCTCCATCCATGCTGTTGCAAAGGGTAGGAGCTCCCTTCTTTCTTTCTGCTGCATAGAATTCCATTGTGTAAATGTACCATAGTTTTTTGGATCCATTCATTTACTGATGGGCATCTTGGTTGCTTCCAGCATCTAGCTATTGTAAATTGTGCTGCTATGAACATTGGGATGCATAGGTTCTTTTGAATTGGTGTTTTAGTATTCTTAGGATAGAGTCCCAGCTGTGGAACTGCAGGGTCAAAAGGCAGATACATTTTTTAGTTTTCTGAGGAAGTTCCATACTGCTTTCCATAGTGGTTGTACCAGTCTGCAGTCCCACCAGCAGTGCACTAGGGTCCCCTTTTCTCCACAACCTCTCCAACACTTGTTGTTTGTTGCTTTGTTTATGATGGCCATTCTGTCTGGTGTGAAGTGGTATCTCATTGTGGTTTTAATTTGCATCTCTCTGATAGCTAGCGATATTGAACATCGTTTCATGTGTCTTTGGATTTTCTGTATGTCCTCCTTGGAGAAGTGTCTGTTCAAATCCTTTGCCCACTTTTTTAATTGGATTCCTTGTCTTCTTAGAGTGCAGTCGTGTAAGTTCTCTATATATTTTGGAGATTAAACCCTTGTCTGAGGTGTCATTGGCAAATATGTTTTCCCATACAGTTGGTTCTCTTTTAATTTTGGTACTGTTTTCTTTAGCTGTGCAGAAGCTTTTTAATTTTGATGAGGTCCCATTTGTTTATTCTTTCCTTTATGTCCCTTGCTCTAGGGGACAAGTCAGTAAAAAAGTTTCTTCGTGAAATATCTGAGATTTTCCTACCCTACGTTCTCCTCTAGGACTTTGATGGTGTCACGATTTATATTTAAGTCTTTTATCCACCTTGAATTTATTTTTGTATGTGGTGTAAGTTGGTGCTCAAGTTTCATTTTTTTTGCACGTGGCTGTCCAGTTCTCCCAACACCATTTGTTGAAGAGGCTATTTTTACTCCATTTTAGGTTGCTGCCTCCTTTGTCAAATATTAATTGACCATAGAGACTTGGGCTTATTTCTGGGCTCTCTGCTCTGTTCCATTGGTCTATGTGCCTATTTTTATGCCAGTACCAGGCTGTTTTGATTACAGTAGCCTTGTAGTATAGTTTAGTGTCGGGTATTGTGATCCCTCCTACTTTACTCTTCTTTCTCAAAAATTGCAGCAGCTATTCGGGGTCGTTTATAATTCCATATAAATTTTTTGGAGTGTTTGTTCTATGTCTGTGAAATATGCCATTGGTACTTTAATAGGAATTGCATTGAATGTGTAAATTGCTTTGGGTAGTATGGACATTTTGATGACATTAATTCTTCCAATCCATGAACACGGTATATGTTTCCATTTGTTTGTGTCTTCCTTGATTTATTTCTTCAGTGTTGTGTAGTTTTCTGAATACAGGTCTTTTACTTCTTTGGTTAGATTTATTCCTAGGTATTTTATTTTTCTTTTTGCTGTTTCAAATGGGATTTTTTCCTTGATATCTGCTTCTGCTGTTTCATTGTTGGTGTATAGAAATGCCTTTGATTTCTGGATATTGACTTTGTATCCCGCTGTTTTGCCAAATTCATTTATTAGGTCAAGCAGTTTTTTGGTAGAGTCTATAGGATTTTCTATGTATACTATCATGTCATCTGCAAACAGTGACAGTTTTGTTTCCTCCTTTCCGATCTGAATGCCTTTTATTTCTTTTTCTTGTCTGATTGCTGTGGCTAAAACTTCCAGTACTATATTGAATAGAAGTGGTGAAAGTGGACAGCCTTGTCTTGTTCCTGATCTTAATGGAAAAGGTTTTAATTTTTGTCCATTGAGAATGATGTTGGCTAAAGGTCTCTCATATATGGCCTTTATTATGTTGAGGAATGCTCCCTCTATTCCCACTTTGCTGAGTGTTTTTATCATGAATGGGTGCTGTACCTTATCAAATGCTTTTTCTGCATCAATTGATATGATCATGTGGTTTTTGTCTTTGCTTTTGTTTATGTGATGTATTACATTTACTGACTTGCGAATGTTGAACCATCCTTGCATCCCTGGAATGAATCCCACTTGGTCATGGTGTTTGATCTTTTTAATGTATTGTTGGATGCGGTTTGCCAGTATTTTGTTGAGGATTTTTAGCGTCAATGTTCATCAGTGATATTGGCCTGAAGTTTTCTTTCTTTGTTGTGTCTTTATTTGGTTTTGGAATTAGGATGATGTTGGCCTCATAAAAAGAGTTTGGGAGACTCCCATCTTTTTGGATTTCTTGGAATAGTCTGTGAAGGATGGGGGTTAGCTCTTCCTTAAATGCTTTGTAGAATTCTCCTGTGAAACCATCAGGTCCTGGGCTTTTGTGTGTTGGGAGTTTTTTGATTACTGCTTCAATTTCTTTTGTTGTTATTGGTCTGTTCAGACTTTCTGCTTCTTTTTCATTGAGTTTTGGAAGATTATATTTTTCTAGAAAGTTGTCCATTTCACCTAGGTTTTCAAATTTCTTGGCATACAGCTCTTTGTAGTAATTTCTTACAATCCTTTGTATTTCTGTGGTATCTGTTGTAATCTCTCCTCTTTCATTTCTGATTGTGTTTATTTGGGTCTTCTCTTTTTTTTTCTTGATGAGTCTGCTTAAAGGCTTGTCAATTTTGTTTATCTTTTCAAAGAACCAGCTCTTGGATTCATTGATCCTTAGAATTGTGCTTTTAGTCTCTATGTCATTTAATTCTGCTCTGGTCTTGGTTATTTCCTTCCTTCTGCTTGCTCTGAACTGCCTTTGTTGTTGTTCCTCGAGTTCTTGTAGACGTAGGGTTAGGTTGTTTGTTTGGAATTTTTCTAACCTTTTTAGGTGGGCCTGTATCGCTATGAACTTCCCTCTCAGGACTGCCTTGGCTGTGTCCCATAAGTTTTGGGTTGTTGTGAGTTCGTTTTCATTTGTTTCCAGAAACCTTTTGATTTCTTCCCTAATATCATTCTTGACCCATTCATTGTTTAATAGCATGCTATTTAATCGCCATGATTTTGAGTGTTTTTTGGTTTTTTTTCCTTTGGGTTGGTTTCTAGCTTCAGTCCCTTGTGGTCTGAGAAAATGCTTGGTATGATTTCAATTTTCTTGAAATTCTTGAGGCTTGCTTTGTGTCCTATCATGTGGTCTATCTTTGAGAATGTTCCATGTACATTTGAAAAGAATGTATATTTAGCTTCTTTTGGATGGAGGGTCCTGTATATATCAGTAAAGTCCATTTCATCAAGGGTATTGTTCAATGCCACAATATCTTTGTTGATATTTTGTTTAGAAGATCTGTCCATTTTTGATAGTGGGGTGTTAAAATCTCCCACTATAATTGTGTTGCTGTCCATATCTTTCTTGAAGTCCTCTAAGATTTTCTTTATGTATTTCGGTGCTCCAATATTAGGTGCATATATATTTACAATATTTATGTCTTCTTGATGTATTCTTCCCTTGAGAATTATGAAGTGACCTTCTGGATCTCTCTTTATGGACCTTCTTTGGAAGTCTATTTTGTCTGATATGAGTATTGCTACCCCGGCTTTTTTTTCCTGTCCATTTGCTTGGAAGATTTGTTTCCAGCCCTTCACTTTCAGCCTGTGTAGGTCTTTTTATCCTGAGGTGGGTCTCTTGTAGACAGCAGATATGTGGGTCATTTTTTCTTATCCAATCAGCTATTGTATGTCTTTTGATGGGAGCATTTAATCCATTTACGTTTAAGGTTATTATTGACAGGTACTTATTCATTTTCTTTTATGTATGTGTGTTCCTCTCTCTCTCTCTCTCTCTCTTTCTTCTCTCCTCCTTAAAGCAGTCCTTTTAGAATCTCTTGCAGGGCTGGTTTGGTCGAGGTGTATTCTTTTTAGACTTCTTTTGTCTGGGAAGCTTCTTATTTGGCCTTCTATCTTGATTGAGAGCCTTGCTGGATATAGTAGCCTTGGTTGCAGACCTCTAGTTCTCATTACCTGGAGTATTTCTTGTCATTCTCTTCTGGCTTGAAGTGTTTCCATTGAGAAGTCTGCTGTCAGCCTTATTGGGGCTCCCTTGTATGTTTCTTCCTTCTTCTCCCTTGCTGCCTTTAAGATTCTCTCTTTGTCTTGAAATTTTGTCATTTTAATTATGATGTGCCTTGCGGTAGGTCTCTTTGGGTTCCTCTTGATTAGGACTCTCTGTGTTTCCTGGATTTGTGTGACTTTTTCTCTCGTCAAATTAGGGAAGTTCTCCTTCATTACTTGTTCAACTAGGTTTTCGATCCCTTGCTCTTCTTCTTCTCCTTCTGGTATCCCTATTATACAGATGTTATTACGTTTCATATTGTCTTGCATTTCTCTTAATCCCTCTTCATTCTTTCTGAGCCTCTTTTCCTTTTCTTGCTCTTTCTGGAAGCTGTTTTCTACTTTGTCCTCCAGCTCGCTAATCCGATCTTCTGCTTCATCAATCTTGCTTTTCATTCCTTCCACTGTGTTCTTCAGTTCAGAAATTGTATTCTTCATTTCCTCTTGACCTTTATTGAGAGTTTCTATTTCCTTTTTCATGTTTATATAGTTTGCAGTGAGATTGATGTAGTTTCCCTCTAATTTCTGAAAGCTCATTGTGAGTTCGTTGAACTTCCTGGTAATCATTGTTTTGAACTCACTATCTGATAGTTGAGTTGCTTCTATTTCATTTAGCATTTTTTCCTGAGGCTTCCTCGTTTCCCTTCAGTTGGGGGTTGTTTCTTTGTTTTCTCATTGTTCGTGGGTTTCTTCTTTTTTTCTTCTTGATTGTTAATTTGAACTGTTCTGATTCCCTGTACTTATGGTGTGAACTTCTTTGGTAGAATATTTGTGTGTTTCAGTGGTGCAATCTCCTTCGTGTATCCTGGTGTTCACAGCTTCCCCCTACTCTTTTTTTGGGATCAGTTGGAGGAGTAAGGCAAAATGGTTTAAAACAGCAAGACAGTATACTATGATATTTACTTAGCAGCCAGTAGAGAAGAGATGTGTTATCCTTTGGCTCCTTATAGTGTTAACCGTGATCCTCCACCCCACTATCCACGTTTTAGAAAGGATGGAAAGAAGGTAAGACTCTTATTAGGGCCGAGAGGATTGTTAGTTGGATCTAGAAAGCTGTGAAGCTGTGGGAGGTCAGCTTCTAAGGTCGGGTTGGACTAAAGATTAGTATATAGGAGTAGTGAGTTCAAGAATAGAGACAACCCCCCACAATAGTATAGTTCAGAAAATTGCAAAGTGGGCTGAGATCAGGTAGGGGCATTGAGAAGCATTTACAATTGTATAGACTACGTCTTACTAGCAGTAATAGTAAAGTGACAGTCTTGTGGCAGAATCGATGAGGTCTAGATAACCAGAATAAAGGGTATAGAACCTTGAGGGGTGTGATAATGGAACACAGATGAAGGATAGTAACTTATCAACACCTTGTGACTGAGATACCAGGGGGAACCTATCGAATGATAGTATAACCAGCCAAGCAAAGAAGACTATACAGAAAGAAAAAGAATACCAAAATACTATTAAAATAAAAAGTCGGAAAAGTGAGAAAAAGATAATACAAATTTACATTAACTTGCAAGATTAAAAAAAAGGGAAAAGAAAGAAAAGCAGAAGATGTAGTGCAGGAGAGATAAATTTGGAGTGGAAAGAATAATATTAGGTTGAAAGGAAGAGAAATATAAGGGATTGCAAGATAAAAATAATAAGAATTGAAAAAAAAGTCACGTAAAAACAAGGTAAAATCAATCAACCAACCACAGCCAGAGAAACCAAACAAAACCAACAACAACAACAAAAAAAACCAAAACAAAACAAACACACACACACACACACACACACACAAATACGAACCAACCAACCAAACAAACAAACAAAAAAACCTCTTGTTGGTTTCTAACTGGCCAGACCAGTTTTTCTGGTCTTGCTGGCTTCAGCTGGCTCTCTCTCTCACAACCCGATCTCAGCAAGTCCGCCAGGTACCTTATGCGCCCCTACACACTGGCGCACGTGAGTCAGTCTTTCCGACTACGTTGCGCTAGCCCGGCCGTTTCCAGCTCCGTGTTCTCGCCGTCCCGTGCTCCGACTGGATGTTGGCGCCTTTCCTGGCTCCCCTGGTCAGGCTGGCTGGAAATCTCAGAGCCACCACAGCAGTTACTAACCCAGCACCACGTCTGTCCCGGTATCGCAGCGCACGATTCCGGCCTCCCTATGGGGCGCGACCCGGTGTTGGCGCCTTTCCCGGCTCCCTCGGTGGGGCTGGCTGGAAATCTCAGAGCCACCACTGCAGTTACGCACCCAGCACCACATCTGTCCCGGTAGCGCAGCTCGAGATTCCTAATTTTTTGACATAACAATTAGATGCAATTTTTCTTGATTTATATAAATTTATACTTTCAGTGATTTTTCATTGATTTTCTTTTACTATCTAGTAACATGTCTAATTTTATAATTTAATGTTGATTAACAGTTAGTCAATGTAAAAATCCATCTTTCCAATCAGCTGCAAGCCAAAGTCTGAGTATTTCCTTTTCCCCCTCTAAGTGTGAACCATTTACCTGTCCCTCCTTTAGGCCATGTAGCAACTATTTGGACAGGATTCAGTTTCAGACATCAGAGATTTAGAAAATCCTAGAGGTCTTATATTTTATCTGAACTTGCTCTTAAAATTACAAACTGACTATCAAATGGAAATATCATCTTTAATTCCTCTTCTCTTTTGCTTGCTTATTTTACCAACAGATAGGTTTCAGATATTTATATTTGAAAGGAATACTAATGCTGGAAAAAAGTTAGAACATTAGCTTATCACAGCTTGAGCTTCTCTGCTATTTAAGTTACATATCAATAACAAGTTCTAATAAAATTTATTTCAAGCATGTCACAGCACAGTAAAAAAATTTCCATTACCATACAGTAGCTATGATTATCTGACTAGAGTTCAGTTTGATAGCATAAAGTCATCTAGTTAAAAGTAAATGCTTTTGCTTATAGTTGTTTTACTGATTTTCAAAAATCTTTACTTTCCCTTTTCCCCTTACTCTCTCCCATCTTTACTTACCTTACACCTTTTTAGAGCTTCATACATTTACTGGCTAAATGACCTTTTAGTGCTTAAATGACTTTCTACTCATAAGATGAGAAAGGAAAGAACACACTGTTTCCACATGAAAAAAATACCTATTTAGTTTTCCAAGAGTCTAAATTAACATTCAACTCTAAGGAAGCAGCTCACTTGAACCATACATTTGAGTCATGGACAAATAGTGCTCAGAACCCATGAAATCAACAGCTAAATGAGCAGTAACAGATCTGAAGACAGTGAATTGTGTTTGGAAAGGGGCTGAGAGTGGTTGGACTTTCATCCTTTTCCTGATTTCTTTCCTGCTGAAGGTGCTCTGACAGGTCTGATGGGTGGCTTTGGGCATCCCAAAGATGAACAGAAGATTAACAGTTACTCTGCTTCTTTGTTAAATGTGAAATTGATGGCACTGTGAATAGTAGTGAATACGCAATTTGTAAGATCATTGAGCTAGACCATTCTGTATTTTCAAGGAACTACAAAATAAGTTCTATAAATGTAGCTAAAGAAAAAGATCTGTAGCACAGTGTGTGACTATTCTTTTTAAACTCTCATCCTAGTTATTGGCATTTTGTACCACCTCTGCAAACATATCTGGGAAATAATTTTAGTTTTGGAGTTAGTTAGGCCCATGCGTTTTGTACTTTTAGAACCATTTCCTTCTCCTTCATAGCATCCATGGATATTTCACTCCCGTGACTGTTCCACGGCTTGCTGCCTCTCTAGGTTCTGAAATCTTCGGGCAGAGAATGTATGTTTTGTCATATTTGCTGCTTTATCTCCAGCTCTGAGCCCCAGTGGGCCAGCCTTAAATATTTTTAACAGATAAACAGAAGATTTAATAAATGAGTAAACATGTGGTTGAAAGTTCAGCCCACATCTCAAAAACTTCCACAGGACACATGAAATCTACTGCAAATGTCCTGTCACACAAATAAGGATGAAATATGCACACACACACACAAATCTGTCACCTGCAAACTCAAGTGTGTTATCTTTAATTAGAACAAATGTTTTTCCTTAAGAGCTTATTTCTCTTTATGCGTATGTATTTCAAAACAGGTGCATCTAGAACATTGTTTTATACACAATTCCCTAATTCTGTAACAATTTATTCAGAATTTCAACATGGGAGCAGCTAGATAAATTTTAGATAAGAATCTTGCCCTTTTTTCCTTGTAATATCATAGAACTCATGCTTTAATTACAAAGTTTCCAATCTATATTGATCCTAGATTAATATGTTTACTAGGTCTGAAAAATTAAAAACATGTTTCTACACTGCTGGAGGTGATATAAATTAAGCACCAGCTGGGTTTGTGAGTCAATGGTTAAGCATTACTGCAGCCTTATATCATGGCATAATTCCAGCTGTAAGATTAATTACATATAATAAATGCTCAGCTTAATCTGAAGGTTTTTTCTGGGGTGGGGTGCGGTTAGAAATGAGGGAGGAAAGTTTAAACAAACCAAGTTGAAGGAGTGCATCTTTAGCTGACCACCACTGATGTCTTAACATTCCTGTTTATAACAGGCTGTACCTTTCCAAAAGGAGGGTTGAAAACACACTGGGCACAAAACAAAGCTGTTTGTCTGGCTGAGTCAGCGCAGTCCGGGAAGAGTGATAAAAAGCAGCAGTGAATATGGAAGAGCTGATTAGAAGTCCCAGATTTGCTTCTTTGCTTATTTTATGAGTCTGAACAACTGCTAAACACCTCTGAACTACTAAAAACCTTTGAGCTTAATTTAAACCACACATCTGTCAGAGTCTGAGCTCTGTGACTAGCAGGCTGACCTTGAGCACTTTATTTAGCCCTCTATGACTGTTTCTTTATCTGTAAAATGGGGATACTTAGGCTTCCTATCTCAGAGTGTGGCTGTGAAGATTGAATGAAATACTTGTACAGCACTTGGAACAGAGACTAGATACAATAAACATCCCACAGACAGGCATTACTATCATTTATATTATATATTCTCTATGAATTTTCTATTTTTACATAGGTTCAAAGTAAACCAAAACCTGATAATTTATTTATGTAGGTGAAATTTAGAGTCAGTTGTGGCCCATAATTACCCTCTCATCCCTAGTCCATCTGCCTTAAACCTTCACACAATATGATAGAGAACCTCAAACCACTATTTTAGTCTGTTAGGGTTGCCATAACAAAGTACCACAGATTGGGTGATTTCAACACCAGAAATTAATTTTATACTATTTTGCTGCCTAGAATTTCAAGATCAAGTAAGTGGTCAGCAAGATTGGTTTTTTTGAAGGCCTCTCTCCTTGGCTTTCAGATGTCTGTCTTTTAGTACCTTCACATGGTCTTTCCTCTAAGCATGTCTGTGCCCTGACTTCCTCTTCTTATAAGGACACTAATCATATTAGATTAAGGTTCACCCTAAAGATCTCATTTTAACCTAACCAATTCTTTAAATACCTTATTTCCCAATGTGGTTACATTCAGTAATACTGAGGTTAAGACTTCAACATATGAATTCGAGGGGGCACAATTCACCCCATAAAAATCACTAAATTTAGTTCAGCTATTAGTCCCTGGTCTCTCTTTCAAGTCAGCCCTGGTAAACATTGAGTTCTGTCCCGTAGTTTGTCTCTTGGAAGGGGACAGGTGTGGGAGGGTAAGCTCAATCGCTAAGGACAACACAGAGACCCACACTCCAAAGGATGGATTGTTTCCTATGAGCGCATTTCAATGACAGAAAGCTAAGTGTCGAGCAAATGAAGTAGAGAAATTAAGTTCACTTTCCCTCAACCAATAGAAACTGCATTTCTGTCCCAACATCCACTCCTTGAAGGTCAGCTTCCAAACAGGTTTCTAGAGACCAAGAACCAGGCTTCAGTGTGTCCATGTCAGAAGCCTGCCTGGACTCTCACATTTCCCCAAGCCCTCTGGGGGCAAGTCCACCAGTGCTCAGGAAATGACAAACCTGGAAACAACCTAAGTGTCTATTAATGGATGAATGGATAAAGAATATATATACATATACACATCACATTTATAGTACATTTTTATATATTACATATATCACATTATGCTAAGTGAAATAAATCAGGCAGAGAAAGATAAATAGCATATGACAAGTGTAATGAGTTACATGTTTATATGAAGGACTAGTTCCTTACTTTGGGATCTTGGCTCTGAGATTCAGCTGAGCCCAGCATAGGTGGTTCTGCCACAGCTGCTCCTTCTGTCTCAGATGGGCTGTTGGCCTCCCCCATGTCTTGCTACAGCCATCTCTTCCTTGATGCTGCTCTGAGGTTTCGTGGTCCTGATGACTGTGCTGCTGGGGTCCTCATCCTCACTCCCATTGGGAAGGTGCTGAAACCTTTTGCAGGATTTACACACAGGAAGTTCACCCCAGTAGAGCTTTATTCCATTGTTCTGAGTACTTCTTTTCCTCATGATGTAGGAGGTCTGAGCACCACCTTGAAGCAGCTCGGCCATCCCTGGAGAAGCATGTTTACTAGTAGCTAGCCCAGTGTCATGCACATCCATGTCTCAGGCAAATAGAGTTTGTCTAAATTTCCTTTCTGAAAATGAGTGGAGGATAATGAATGAAAGGTATATAGGCCTTGGAATTCAAATAACTGAGTAAACTCTGGTTGTTCCATTTTATTTCTTTTCAAATAAGTCATTGGCATGAGCCTATTATGTGCTCTGCAGCTGTGATCTTGAATAACATAAATACCCTCTACCTCAGTTTTTCATCCACAAAATAAGAACATAATTCTGCCTTGTATAGTTCTTATAAGAACTGAATGGTACAAGGAATGGAAAAGCCTTGGTTTATACAGTAGATTCTCAATAAATGGTTATTATTATTACTATCATTTTCAGGTTAATGAAGAATATCAGCAAATAGATGGATAAAACTTTGTGCTAGATGTGTCACCTTATCAGCACTGGTCCTAATCCCATTTTGGTGAGATCTTTTTTTTAAGATTTCCTCAAACATATCTCATTCCTGCACTCAACATACAGATTTTGACTGTACACTGTGCCCCAGGCACAGAGCCAGGCCCAAGGGATACAACAGTGCACAAAAAAAGGCA